CCCGATTGCCGGCCGGGATTGGCTCCGGCCCCACCCGTGACCCCGTTCAGGGACTAAGCGGTAGAAAATGAATGAATGAATGAATGTTCTCTGCTCTTCCATCTCTGTTGGGTTTGACTCGGCAACCAAACAGGACAGGAACAGACTCCAGTGGACAGTCAGGACTGCAGAGAAAATCATCGGTGCCAGCCTGCCCTACATGGAGGACCTGTACACCTTATGGGTCAAAAGGAGGGTGACGAAGATTTCTGTGGACCACTTAGTACATCCTGGACACAAACTGGACAGACATGTCACTGTGCACCAAGACAACCAGACACAGAGACAGTTTCTTCCCCCGGACTATTCCACTGATGAACAGCCACTCAGTTTGCAGAGAAGATGGAAGGAGTATTTTTTGTATCTGTATCTGTGAGCAGCAGTATGGCTTCATGCCCAGAAAGAGCACTACTGATGCAATTTTTGCTCTGAGAATGTTGATGGAGAAGTATAGAGATGGTCAGAAGGAGCTGCATTGCGTCTATGTGGATTTAGAGAAAGCATACGACAGAGTGCCAAGAGAGGAGATATAGTACTGTATGAGGATGTCAGGAGTGGCTGAGAAGTACGTCAGAGTAGCTCAGGATATGTATGAGAGGAGTACGACAGTAGTGAGATGTGCTGTAGGTCAGACAAAGGAGTTCAAGGTGGAGGTGGGGCTACATCAAGGATCGGTTTTGAGTCCCTTCTTGTTTGCTATGGTGATGCACAGGTTGACAGATGAGTTCAGACAGGAATCTCTGTGGACAATGATGTTTGCAGATGACATTGTGATCTGTAGTGAGAGTAGGTGGAGGAACACATGGAAAGGTGGAGGTCTGCTCTGAGAAGAAGAGGAATGAAAGTCAGTCGTAGTAAGACGGAATACATATGTATGAACGAGAGGGAGGGAAGTGGAACAGTGAGGTTACAGGGGGCTGAAGTCAAGAAGGTGCAGGAGTTTAAATATTTGGGGTCAACAGTCCAGTGTGATGGGGAGTGTAGGAAAGAGGTGAAGAGGCGAGTGCAGGCGGATTGGAGTGGGTGGAGAAAGGTGTCAGGAGTGTTGTGTGACAGAAGAGTGGCAGCAAGAATCAAAGGAAAGGTGTACAAGACAGTAGTGAGACCAGCTATGCTGTATGGGTTAGAGACTGTAGCAGTGAGGAAAAGACAAGAGGCAGAGATGGAGGTAGCAGAGATGAGGATGTTGAGGTTCTCTTTAGGAGTGACCAGGATGGACAGGATTAGGAATGAGCACATCAGAGGGACAGCTCAGGTCGGCTGTTTTGGGGACAAGGTCAGAGAGGCCAGATTGAGATGGTTTGGGCATGTGCAGAGGATAGTGGTTGGTGGAAACAGATGATTTGCTGTGGCGACCCCTAACGGGAACAGCCAAAAGAAGAAGATAAAATCTTGTTAACTGCTGGAATCTATGTGACATTTTTGACTAATGTGTTTCTGAGTATTTAAGTGTTTTGATAATGGTTGTGGTATTAATTTTGATTCATCACAAAACACCTGTTTAAACACATCAAAAATTAATCAGATGACTTTGAAACAATATCTGAATTATAATAAAATAAAATGCTAAGACAACAGAAAGAGAACAGTTTCTGCAACACTGATTAAAATACAGTATACAAAGGAGACCACATTTTGCACTTTCACATTGTGAATTTAAATTAAGTTCAGCAAATTAAATGGGTAAATAATTTTATTTAAATTTAATATTAATGTGAAGCTATCAGTGATAAATAGAAACCTGAAAACCAGTCAGGTTTTCAGATTCATGACTTAGACCACCTACTGCCCCCTATTGTATACATCCGGTACTGACAGCCTGGTTTGGATGCACTTGGACATCTGGCTTTATCGTTATTATTAATTAGGCACGCTCATGAGTGATAAAGATCAAACTGTCAATTGGCTGAACAAAAGAAAAGAGACAGAGCTTTTTCATGCTGAATTTGGGAGATTTAAGCCGAGACATTTTGGAGCCTTCATTTTAATGCACGTTTTTCTGTAAGCTTAGCTGTCTAATTTTCTTAACGATTTTGACATGCTGTGTACTGAACCACATGTAGTCAACCCGTAAAGATGCAGTCTCTACCGCCTGTTCTGTGCAGGAGGAAGTGCTACTCTGCTTTCTCCCCTTAACCCCGCCTCCTCTCTCGCGGACGTAACGTTGATTGGTCAATTTCCTTCTAGCGACAGCCAGCTAGGAGATACTCGGAGAACATATGAGATGCAAATCCAGAGCTCTGTCGGTAAAAGCCTTGTGCTGTTAACTGGCATATCCATTTACCTAGAAGCGAAGGGGGAGAGAGACATAGCTGGGGAATAGAGAGAGAGAGAGAGCGGCTTGTATGTAACAGTACGTTCGGTTCTGGCTGTGGGAACTGGGATGAAACAAAATTTAAAGTAAATGTCCCATTTCTTCCTACTTTGTACTTTCCTTTCGTGTTCCCTTCACTTTTGATATCAACCATGTGTGGAAGCTTCATTTCAGCTGCGTGGAGAAAGAAGGAGCTTTGAGGACTTTTCAAAATCCCTTGCAACTGTTAAATACTTTTTCTGTATGGAAGAAAAACTGACTAGAGTGAGTTCTGCTTTGGAGATCGTTTTGTAACGCGCGTCTGGATGGGATAAAAACGCACCGCAACTGGGCGACAGGCACCAAGAGGTCCACAACGCGAGACTACCGACAAGTATATACTGCAGAGAAAAGAATCTGCTTCTTGTGCTGAAAAGGAAAAGAGCGGGATAGGCTTTACAGCGAAGATCGGGGACGTTGAGTATCTGTGGACGCACTGTGGCGCACAAATGGTATTTCTGTGGGACGCGAAATACGGTACAAGTCTTTATGAATTTACCAACTGTTATATTTCTCTGATGCTTTAATGATTTAAGGTCAACAGCGCAACCTCCAACGGGATGTCTTTAAAAATATAATGAGTGTGAAGAAGGAAAAAAATAACACAAACCCATTAATAAATTCCACCTTCTCAGTTATTAGCGTTGGATGCCGCAGATGGCACCTTTATCTCAATCAACATATGTGAGTCATCTGATAGGCGGTATTCTGACTTTATGATTTGTTATCTTTTTAATAAAAATACTATGTGTTTGGGAACCTTGTTCACAGTATTTTATAGATTGTATCATATCAGCTGGTTGAGAGGTATTTTAGAAATATTCTCATTTGCAGGCCCTGGTGATGTACATAAATTTCAGACAAGCAGGCACTTTTCCAATATAAAATCTATTATATGCTGTGATGCATTATAAAAAATATTATAAAAAAACTTGCCATAAAAGTTCGTGCTCACCCATATTTACACGTTTTGGTAACCTAATGAATTATTACCATATTATGATGTGACTGATACCACCAACTTGCCTTACAATTTTCAGCTAAGGGTTGGGAACAGATTTGGAGTTCCAGGAGACTTTTCCTTAAATTAAAATGTGTCAAGTTTTCATGAGAAACCTTAAGTTCATTTAAAATGGTAGATTTCTCATCTAGCAACCCAGGACATTAAGAGCCACTTCATGTTAAACAGATGATCAATGAGGGGACACCCAGGCTTTAAGCACAATATAGAATCTCTTTATAAATGTAAAAGCTGTATAAATTATACTAAGAGACAACAACAAGGGCAAAAAACATGGAGAGCGATTCAAACTTGAAATGTTGTTCCTTTCTCAGGCACTGCTTTTGCATCTGCTCACTTCTAACCCTTAATGCATCCGAGTCAAAATAAACTCATATTTAATGTCAAAAACTCATAACTGAGGTTTATTGTCGATTACTTAAAGGATTATTTATGGTGAACTGACTCGCAGTGTAACTGAGCTGTTATTTCCTGTTTGTGCGTCCAGCTCCAGTGTAAAGCTCTCAGTGAGGCTGCAGTTGTACAAGACAGTAGCAGCGGTTTCAAACTGTAAACCGCCAGTGTGTGGCTTCACTTGTGGGTTGGCTGACTGACAAATAGCGGAGCCACTGACCCTGTAGGGAGACAGACTGTCTTAGCTACACCCAGTTTTTGCCTATTATGTTACATGAATTGAACTGGAAGGTAAATCATCAGTTGAACTTTGTTAATAGGATGCCACTTCTCACATTTATTCTTTTAAAGAGTGCTGCTGTTGTCTCTAGTTACATGACTACACTCTATAGTCAAGTGTAACCAAGGCGTGTGTCATCATGCACTGGACTTACATATGTGTATGTCTGTGGAAAGGGGTGATCTTTGAGTTTCACCTGCGTGTGTGGTGTGTTATGTCTTATTTTATACATCCTGGCTGGTGACGTTACTTTCCATTTAAATATTTTACTTATATGTGGATACACTCTTATCAGTTTTTACAGTACAGTATATAACTGATTCATTTTTCAGGAGCTAAAAGTTTCTTTGTGTGTATGTTCAGTCTGCAGAAAGAACACTAAATATGCAGGAATATGAGCTGTATAAAATGGTATAAAATATTCATTAGAGTTTCCCAAAGCTGAAACTGGTGTCTTCAAATGTTTTCTTTCACCCAACCAACAATGGAAATGCCAAAAATGTTCAACGTATTTTCAGAAAGGACTAATACAACCACAGAATCTTCATATTTAGAACCAGAAGACAAGCTGAAACCAGTAAAATTAAGCTTAGAAAATCATAATCAAAATAGCAGTGAATAAATTTTATGTTGCTTCAACCATTCTGAAATGTGTATTTGTTAATTTTACCAGTCTGGAGATATTTAAAGAAGACAGTTCCGCTCATCTCCTCTCTTCCCTCCAGACCCAGCCCCTGGCCGGCGTTACACTCCCCCCTCCACAACCCTCACCTCTGGAGGGAAAAAGGCCGAGGCCCTGCCACTGGGTGCCCAGGAGGCTGGAGGCGGGGCTGCTCTGGTGGGCAAACTACGCATGGCAGACCGCGGCATGGTGGAGGTACAACAACATGGAACTTTAAAGCTACACTCCCTGACTACTGAGCGTCCCCCAGGTGGTGGTCTACATTATAAAACTCTGCTTGTGATGGCTTTGCAGGTGATCTCAGATCATCCAGGAGAGCTGGTGAAGACAGACAGTCCTAACTTCCTCTGTTCTGTGCTGCCTACTCACTGGAGGTGTAACAAGACTCTGCCTATTGCTTTTAAGGTGTGTATGTTAGCAGAACTGCACTTCCCATGAAGCATTTTATCCAGCATCTGGCAAATAAACACACATGCGAGTACTGCAATGAATATATTTGAGTCAATTTTCTTGAGTATTACCCTATTCTGATATTTTATATTTGTACTCTACTACATTTATTTGACAGCTATAGTCTTTATTTAGTTTCAAAAGTTATGATCTCCAAATTATTATAACTGAAACAACAGAATATAAAGAAATTAAAATTGCACCACTTTGAGTAACTATAACATAGCAATGTAGAAGCTATAATTTAATATCAGAATGTATATAATCACATCCATCCATTTTCTTCCGCTTATCTGAAACCGGGTCGCAGGGGCAGCAGTCTAAGCAGAGATGCCCAGACTTTCCCCTCTCTAGACACTTCCTCCAGCTCCTCCGGGGG